TGAACCTATGTTCTATTAAATGTTTGGAATTGACAACTACTAAAACATGTTCCAGTGCTTTTCTATTCAGTTGTGTGTGGCTTCCTGTACCACTATAGCATAATCAGCTGTTTAGCCTTTCAGTCTGATAGCGAAACTCACCCTATTAACCTTAAATTGGAAACACAAATGTTCCGAAATAATACGTGCTTTATTACTATCATGCAGCAGCAAACTTTAATCTTCCTTTCTTCCTGCAGTACGAACACTAAATATTTTATCCTATGGAAAGGCTCTCTCAATGAGTGTCAGTCTCTGGAATGCTTGCAACTCAAAAAAAATCCTATCCAGTGCTTGTGCTTGGAGTGCTGAATAGTGCCTTCTGGTACTGCTTGCATCCTGCAACAGGCCAGCTCAGCTCACGCAGTGATAGAATTTCAGCTTGACCTTGCAATTATAACCACTGAACAGTATTTCAATGCAGCCTTCTAAATTGCTTTGAAACAAAGAAGGGACAAAGCCAGGAGTTACTGTTGTTTTGTAAGCCCTTATTTTAAAGTTGCAGCTCAAAACCAATTTGTCTGTTTTCATTTCTGATCTGATAAATATCGGTACAGAAACATGGTTGTAGTGCAAATGTGTCAAGAAGATGTAAGACTGACACTAAAACTTTTGTTTGTCCCTTTCCCAATTAGTTTTAGTAATGCTTAGTAATCCTTGAAGTTGTTTTATGTTGCTTTGGGTTACTCTGTATTTTGTGTATTAGCGTAAAATAATGCAGTTTTCCTAGCTGAAGTGCTCCAAGATCATTTTTGTTTGCTAGCTTCACACTACGCATTCCTGAGCTTTGTACCTCTATATGCTGTTTTGAATAATACAGAATAGGTCTGTTGTTTCGTGGTCTCATTCAGAGATTACCAAACCGGTAAGAAGTGAGATCCGTGACTGAAAAGACTACAAAACCTATTCCAGTTAAGATTGTCCTAAAGAGAACAGCAACAGCATGCAGGGCAACTTGTAGAACCTATGACATGCCTTTGCTGGTTGTTCCAGCATTAAGTACATTTAAGAACTGCTCCAACCATGTGAATCCAGTCATCAATTTATTTAGCAAAAATACTTTGAAACTGTTAGTGCTGTAGCTTAAGGCAAAATGAATGATGTAGTAAAACATGTATGCATTTATGGTTCTTTGCTACAGCTGTTACCATGCTCAAGTACTCCTTGAATATTTACAATCTTTACCTATTTTTTTCCTAAGTCGGGTGGTGCTAGTATTGCTCCAGATTTCCTTTTCTACATGCATCTTCTAAAGGCATTTGAGGTGTTCGCCCCTGAAAATTAGGTGGTCAATAAAAAAACCCCAAAACCTCATCAGCACCTGAAAATTAGGATTCTCATTCTGGGCTTTTGTTCTGTGCTCTGTTAACATGAACTGGACAGAATGCAGTGTTTAAGAATCTGGCTTGGCAACTGGCACTGTGATAAACAATACCCGTTTTCCTTTGTTAAATACTGCTGTAGTTGTTTCTTCATCCACCGGTTCTGGCAGATCTAGTTGTAATTTGTATTTTTCAGGGACTTCAATGACTATGTCATCCTAAACCAAGAGAATGAAAATACTTGATTAACTATTTGACAACAAATTAGCAGTTAGCATTTCTAGGAATTGGATACTAGACAGAAAACACAAAGTTATTCTTTCTGCTGTCTTACCTTTGAAATTCTCAGATCACACTCAGAAACAGAGCTAACCTTAGGCAGTTCAATTTTTAGTTCAATTTTGAGTGGTTTCTTGTTTGCATCCTTCATGGTTATCATTTCATAGACAGGGGTACTTAGGTTCTCTGCCATTTCAGTACTGGTAATTTCCTCTATCAGATTCACTTTAAACTGTGTCATTTTTTCTTCCTTCAGCAGCGCAGGAGCATTGCTCCAGTCTTCAGCTTCCATACTGTGTAGCAGCTGATCAAGTGTCAGTTCTTTCAAGAAAAACAAGTTATGCCATTTGACAAATATATCACAAAAGTTTTAAGTGTAATTAATTAGCAATTTTGTCAGCTGAAGACTGTTACTAGCAGTTTCTCCTTTGCCCATGATTTGGCTTTATTGCCAACAGGTTAAAAGTTGCTGTTTTCAGAATACTAGTTACAGCAGCAACCCCTTTTACTCAGGATAGAGCAAAAAAAAACCCCCAACTTAGCACCTCAAAGGATCAAACCCTAGTAGAGTTCCTACATCTAGCAGATATAAAAAAAAAGGGAATTTGCTGTTCCAGTGTCGCTACAGTTTCTCAATTGCAAAAAAACCCACCAGAGATGAATGCAGATAGGCCAGCAGGGTGAAACTAATGCCTGGCACAAATACTATTCTGAACTCTTAGAGAGAAGTTTTTGGTTTATGCTTATGGCAAGAACTGGGGTTAGAGAGATGAAACTTGAGTAAATCTGTTGGAGAATCTGATAGGTCCTCAAAGAACAGTGACAGCAGATTTCTACATACCCTTTGTTGTGTTCTGACTGAGATGTGGAGTTGGCATCTGCCTGCCTCTCAGACGTTGCTGCATCGCTTCCAGGCTTCCTTTCAATTTGAATGATTCAATGGTGTACAAATAAGAAAGATTAAGGTTGCATCGTTCCTCAACAAATTTAAGTGTCAAATGGATCAAGTGCTCCTTTTTTTCTGGGTTTTCTTCTCCCCTCTGAAGAACATCTGGGTTATATGCAATATCTATAATGCTGTAAAGGTCTATAAAAATAAATTATGTGTCAGAATTATTGCTATGGAACCACGTGCCGGTGTTCTTTATAATCACTTGATTTAAAAGCAAAGGAAATTAATTTGTGGCTTCTGGGGCAGAGAGCTAATTCCATCAACCTCCCCTAGAGATGACAGCTCTCCAGGTGCTGATCCTGCAGTCTGTGTGTTCAAGGAGAAGCATGGGAACACGATCCAAATCAACATGGTGGTCAATATAGTGTCAAACAGATTCCTAGCACCCAAGTACTTGTTAGGATTGAGATGGGTGCTATCTTTGTGTTCCTTCAGGGTTTTTTTCGAAAAGGAAGGACTCATTCAGTGTCCCGGTTGTGAAACGCCTGCCGTGTCCCTGCCTTGCCGCCCCCACCCCGAGCTCAGAGCTGGCCACAGCTCAGCACCACCCTCCCGCAGCGAGAATCCGCGTGTGATCGCCTTGCGGTGCGCTGCTGCGGGAAGAGATGCAGCCGGGGCCAGGCGCGGCTCTTTCGGGACGTACCTCCTTCACCAGACACTTCTTCTAGCGGCCCCGCACTGACGGGTGTGGGGTCAGTCGGGGCCTTGGGAGCCGGG